CTGGCTGTTGAAGACATTTGGGGAGTGAACCAGTGGAAGGAAGACCTCTCTCTCTCTGGCTCTACCTCTATCTGTAACTCTAACTTTCAAATAAATAAAAATAAAAATTTAAAAAGAACAGATAAAAGGGACAAGATTTAAAAAAAAGATTTTATTGATTTATTTGAGAGGTACAACTACAGACACAGAGAGGGAGGGATAGAAAATATTTCATCCATCTGCTGGTTCACTCCCCAAATGGCCTCAGTGGCCAGAGTTGAGTCACTCAGAAGCCAGGAGCCAGGAGCTCCTTCAAAGTCTCCCATGTGGGTGCCAGAACCCAAGCACTTGGGCCATCTTACACTATGTTCCCAGGCCACAAGCAGAGAGCTGGATCAGAAGATGAGCAGTCAAGACACAAATGGGTACCCATATTGGATGCTGGTGCAACATCACCAGCCCCCAGAAAATTTGAATTTAAGAGCCAACGTCTGGAAGGAGAATGGAGAGATAGGGAGGAAAAATGGAGAAGACGTGATCACTAACCATTAGACATAGAGTAGTCAGAATAGTGAAGAAAAAGACAGGAAGCGTGAACGCAATTCAGTACTAATTGGTTACGCAGAGGGTTGAAAGTGTTCAGTTCCATGATGTGTGCATGAAAGACTCTGTGGACACTGGCACAGGAAGTTGAAATTTGGAAAAAAATCAACAAGAATATGATGCAAAGAAGTGAGACTGGTACCCATATGGGATGCTGGCACTACAGGCAATAGCTTAACTTTTAAGTCTTGAAAAAAAAAAGATTGTTTGCACACAATTTATACCTGCAAGACTCAAAGAATCTCCTGAAAACACCTATTTGGTTGGTTCAATAAAAAAAGAATACTGAAGCCACAGTGACCATCAGTAGACACCATTCTATCAGCCTGAGGTCAAAATGACAGCTGATGCACAGCTTAAATGTGGAAGCCTTGAAGAAGCTGGGTCATTGGTTACCTGAGAAAGCCATTAAAAGACCATTAGCTGCAGTAGATGGCACTCATAGATAGATAGCACTGCAAGTCCATGGGTTATATCTATGGAATTTTTAATACATAGTGCTTAACACAAATACAGAAAAAAGGGGCCAGCATGTGGCGCAGCAGGTTAATGCCTTGGCCTGAAGCGCCAGCATCCCATATGGGCATCGGTTCTAGTCCCAGCTTCTCCTCTTCTGATCCAGCTCTCTGTTTTTGTCCTGGGAAAGCAGTGGAAGATAGCTCAAGTCCTTGGGCCCTTAAACCCACCTGGGAGACCCAGAGGAAGCTCCTGGCTCCTAGCTTGGGTTCAGCCCATCTCCAACTGTTTTGGCCATTTGGAGGCTGAACCAGTGGATAAAAATTTATGTCTCTCCTCTCCCGGTAACTATGCCCATCAAATAAATAAATAAAATCTTTTTTTTTTTAAAAAAACGTCTCTATATATTTCCATCTACTTCTCATTCTCTCTCAGGTATATATAAATTCAGCATTATAAAAGAATGAGAAAACTTAGAAAAGAATACACCAGTGGCCAGCACTGTGGCTTAGCAAGTAAAACCACCACCTGCAGTGCTGAGATCCCATATCGGTGTCAGTTTAAGTCCTGGATGCTCCACTTCTGATCCAGCTCTCTGCTATGGCCTGGGAAAGCAGAAGAGGATGGCCCAAGTCCTTAGGCCCCTGTATCCCTGTGGGTGACCCAAAAGAAGCTCCTGGCTGCAGCTCAGTGCAGCTTTGGCCATTGTGGTCATCTGGGGAGTGAACTATCAGATGGAAGACCTCTCTCTCTCTCTCTGCCTCTCTGTAACTCTGCATTTCAAATAAATAAATAAATAATAAAAGAAATAATACACCTTAGAAACACAAGCAGAAAAAAAATCCCATAGAACAATTTAAATACATCTAGAAAAATCATGTGTAGGGGCCAGTGATGTGGTGTGGTGTGTAAAAGCCACCACCTGTGACACAGGCTTCCACATGTGCACTGATTGTAGTCCTGGACTATTCCATTTCTGATACACTTCCCTGCTAATGTGCCTAAGAAACCAATGAAAAATGGCCAAGTCCTTGGGCCCCTGACAGTGAGGTGGGAGACTGAGAAGAAGCTCCTGATTTCTGGCCATTGTGGCTCAAGTTCAGCCATTGTGGCCATTTGGGGTGTGAAGCAGTAGACCAAAGATCTCTGTCTCTCCCTCTCTCTGTAAACTCTGCCTTCCAAATAAAAAGAAAGCTTAAAGAAATTAGGTGTAGGGGTTGGCACTGTGGCACAGCAGGTCAAGCTACTGCCCGCACTGCCAGCGTCTCATAAGGGCACTGGTTTGAGTCCCAGCTGCTCCACTTCCTATCCAGCTCTCTGCTATGGCCTGGGAAAGCATTAGAAGATGGCCCAAGACCTTGGGTCCCTTCACTCCCTTGGGAGACCTGGAAGAAGCTCCTGGCTCCTGGCTTCACATCAGCACAGCTCTGGCTGTTGCGGCCATCTGGGGAGTGAACCAGCAGATGGAAGATGTGTCTCTCTCTCTTCCTGCCTCTCCTCTCTCTGTGTGATTCTGACTTTCAAATAAATAAATGAAGCTTTTTAAAAAATTAGGTGTAAAGAATCAAGTACCCTTATGATCCCCAGTCTCCTGAGATAAATATTTCTCTTTCAAGATTAATTTATTTCCAAGGTAGAGTTACAGAGAGAGAGAGATCTTCCATTGGCTAGTTCATTAGCCAAATGGCCACTACAACCAGAACTGGGCCAGACAGAAGCCACTGCCAGGAGACTCATCCAGGTCTCCCACATGGGTGCAGGGTCCCAAGGACTTGGGCCATACTCTCCTGTTTTCCCAGGTGCATTAGCTAGGAGATGAATCAGAAGTGGGCCACGAGGAATCAAACCAGTGCCCATATGGGTTGCTGCCATCACAGGCAGCATCTTAACCCGCATGTGCCACAATATCAGCTGTAAAGACAAGCATTTCTCATGACAGGCCATAACTAAACAATAAAGGAGGAGAAAAATAGCTTATAAGAGATGGCTAGTTGTTGGAAAGGAGTCAATCAAATGGAAATTGTAAGAAGCTGCAGTTGAGAAGATGGTTGAAAATGTATTAGAGGGGCCAGGCACTGGAGCGTAGTAGGCTAATCCTAGGAAAGCAGGTGCAAGATGTGCTTGAGAATGGGGGACCCACAAGAAGCTCCTGGCTCCTCTTGGATTGGCTCAGCTCCAGCCATTACGGCCATTTGGGGAGTGAACCCATGGATGGAAGACATTTCACTCTGCCTCTCCCTCTCCCTCCCTCTCTCTCTCTCTCTCTCTCTCCTCTCTCTCTCTCTCTCTCAAAATTTTAGGCACTGTGGTATAGAAGGTTAAGCCTCCTCCTCAGTGCCAGCATCTCATGTGGACTCTGGCTCAGTTGAGTCCCAGCTGCTCTACTTCTGATCCAGCTCTCTGCTAATGCACCTGGGAAAAGCAGAGGAAGGTGGGCTAAGTACTTGAGTCCCTGCACCTGTGTGGGAGACTCAGCAGGGCGCTCCTAGCTCCTGCTTACTGGCTCCTGCCTGACCCAACCCCACCCATTGAGGCCATTTGGGTAGTGAGTCATTGGATGGAAGATCTCTTTTTTTCCTCTTTCTCACTTTGTATCTCTGCCTTTCAGATAAATAAATCTTTTTTTAGAAAGTTATTAGACTTTAAAATCAAATATTAAACACCTCTAGCAAATATTTATCATTATTTATATTTTCTAAAAAAACTTTACTGATTAACATAGGGGACTAAATCCTAGTTTTATTTATTTGAAAGACAGAATTCCAGAAAATAAAGCCAATGAGAAAGAGATTGTCTATCTGGTTCACTCCCCATCCATCTACAACAGCCAGAGCTGGGACAGATTGAAGCCAGAAGTCAGGGAAGTCCATGTGGTTCTCCCACATGTGTGGCAGGGGTCCCAGCACTTGGGCCATCTTCTGCTATCCCAGGCATATTAGCAGGGTACTGGATTAGAAGTGCAGCAGCTTGGACTCAAAAAAGCACTCTTATGGGATGCAGGTATGATAGACTGCATTTAACCGATGATTCTGCCCCCCACTTTGAAAATTTTTAATGTCAGGGCCAGTGTTGTGATGTATGGGTAAGGCCACCACCTGTGATGCTGGCATCCCATATGGGCACTGGTTCATCTCGCAGCTGCTCTACCTCAGATCAAGCTCCCTGCTAATGGCCTGGGAAAAGCAGAGGAAAATGGCACAGGTGTTTAGGCCCCTGCTACTGATGTAGGAGACCTGAATGGAGCTCCAGGCTCCTGCCTTCAGTCTGGCCCAGTGCTTGATTATTACAGACATCTGGGGATGAACCAGTAGATGGAAGATGTCTGCCTCTGTCTCTCTCACTCAGCCTTTCAAATACATAAATAAATCTTTCAAAAATTCTAAACTTTGGGATGTTGACTTAGAATTATTTCTTATTGGGGCTGGTGCTGTGGCATAGTAGGTTAAGCCTCCACCTGCAGTGCTGGAGTGCTGGCATCCCATAAGGGCACTGGTTCAAGTCCTGGTTGCTCCATTCCAATCCAGCTCCCTGCTAATGACCTAGGAAAGCAGTGGAAGGTGGTCCAGAATCCTTTAGCCCCTGCACCCATGTGGGTGAGTGGAAGGAGACTCCTGGCTTCTGGCTTGATATCTGCAAGGTCCAGCCATTGCAGCCATCTGGAGAGTGAACCAGTGGATGGAGGACCTCTCCTCTCTCTCCTCTCTCTCTCTCTCTCTCTCCCTCTCTCTCCTTCTCCTCTCCCTCTCTCTGTTATTCTGATTTGCAAATATTAAAATAAATAAATCTTAAAAAATTATTTCTTATCCTTGGTAACTTACTGTTTAGTGAAAACTTAGCAGGTAACTTTGAACAGTTATATGTTAACAACTTATGAAACATTTACCAAAAGGCCCAATGCCTTCTATATATTTTAAGAAGCCAAGAGTACATGTATTTAGAAAACTCTATCTTTTACACTTAGCAATTCAAAAAAAAATCATCCTACTGCAGAGTAGCCCTTGGTCTCTCTAGCTGCTACACTGCTTTATCTCTCTGCAGCCACTGTAAGTCAGAGATGCTCTTATCCCTGGGCAGGAAAACCTGAGGTTCATTACCTCATGTCAAATTGGATAGGGGCCCCAAATCAGTAATCCATCCCGTGATCACCTTGATGAGAGGATCTGGGTTGCACATGGCACAAGCATCATGGGCCATCAGGAGTCGGATTCCCTTTGTACCCACAGTCATCCTCCTCACCTTGCACAGCTTGTACTGGGCATTCTCTTCAGTGTGTGTTCAGTTTGTATACCACCTCCAGCTCATGTCTGCCACCACATGGCTTCTGCTGTGATGTAGTGAACAGCAAGATGGCCCCTTGGTGTCAAAGATCAGGCAGAAATGCTCACCTGTTGGCTTGATGCTGATGTTTGCTCCATCTCACACATATCCATGAATCCAGCAAGGCTTGCAGCATCAGCTTGAACCTTGCTGTGGATTCTGACCCAGCACTGCTACATTATCTTCTCTACCTCCTCTCCAGTCAGTGAATACTTGAGTTTATATCTCAGGAAGATGAGGAGAGGGAGACATCCCTTAGGTTGCAGGGACCTGATGATGCACAAGGTGCCACAGCAAAGACCACCAATTCATTTTTTAGCAATTATACTTACATTGCCTTAGAAACTAAAACATTAGATAAGTATGGCTAATCTCTTAAGTCATGATCTTGCCAAAGAACAACTTTAAATTGGACTTCATAGGAAGCAATGAACATTGCATCATCTTTTCATCTATTGTTTGTGCTTAGGTGAAAATTACGTTGTGATTTTAAATCACACAAATAAGCACAACCAACTTTTACACATACAACAGTACACACATATAATGCATAGCATACATTATGGCACAGAAAAATATAGAAATCTCTGCAATTCTTTTTAAATCTTTTAATCAGGCCCTATGGCTCACCATGTGGGTAGCCAATTGTACAGATATGAATGTTGATAAGAGGAAAGAGCTTATTTCTACAAGCTGGCATCTTGGGGAAAGAAATATCTCTCTTTTTTTAAGATTTTATTTATTCATTTGAGAGACAGAGCCACAGAGAGTGGGAGAGCCAGAGAGAAAGGTCCTCCACCAGCAAGACCACACCCAAAATGGCCACAATGGCCAGGGCTGGTCTGATCCAAAGCCAGGAGCCAGGGCCTCCCCCATATCCCCCACACGGGTACTGGGTCCCAAGCCCCCCTGGGCATCTCCCACCACATTCCCAGGCCACAAAGCAGAGATCCAGAGCCAGAGAGGACCAACAGGGACATGAAATGGTACCCACATGGGATGGTGGTACTACAGGTGGAGGTCCAGCTCTATATGCCACAGTACAGCCCCAGAGAGAGAGAGCTCTTGATATAAAATGTAATATCTCTGTTACAGGTTAAATTTTTAAAAGATTTATTTATTTATTTGAAAGAGTTACACAGAGAATGAGAGGTAGAGAGAGAGGTCTTTCATCCAAAGGTTCACTCCCCAATTGGCTGTGATGGCCAGAGCTGTGTCAATCCGAGGCCAGGAGCCAGAGATTATTCTGGGTCTCCCACTTGGGTGCAGGAGCCCAAGGACTTGGGCCATCTTCTACTGCTATCCCAAGCCATAACTGCTAAAGGGTTTCTTAAAGGACGAGGGTAGCTTCAGGGGAAGGTAAATAAAACAATGAGTCACCTTAATTGACAATATGTAAATGCCCAAGCTTTTTTTCTGATGAGGCCTCTTAACCAGGGGGCTCAGCATCAGTTGGGTGAAGGCTTCTTTGTTAACTGGGGCAAAAGTCCACCATTATACAAATGCTACTATTCCCCAGAGTAATTCAGGCAATATACAGTATCAGTAATTGATTTTTGCTATATAAAATGTGAAAAGGAAAAGGGAAGGAGGATGGCTTTAGTATGGTTAAAATTCCTTTTTAAAAGCTCCAATCAACTGAATATAATTATTTCCTCTATTGGTAACCTCAGTTAACCCTATTGTTCCTCAGTGGAAACCTGAAAACTTTACTTCAGCATTTAACTCGGAAAGCAACTCTAGTCCCAGTGATGGTACTGGACACTAACATACATAAACATAATTATATCTTCATTTCAGATTCAGTAGGCACTCTGTTAGAGAAACATCTTTTATTGCATTATTAACTCTTGTTCCTCATAGTCAATTTTATCAGAGGCATCTGGAAATTTACAATAGATTTTTTTAAATTTTTTAAATTTATTTCACAGATGGTGAGAGAGAGAGACAGAGAAAAAGGTCTTCCTTCCATTGGTTCACCCCCCAAATGGCCACTATGGACAGCACTGTGCAGATCCAAAGCCAGGAGCCAGGTGCTTCCTCCTGGTCTCCCATGTGGGTGCAGGTTCCTAAGCACTTGGGCCATCCTCCACTGCCTTCCTGGGCCACAGAAGAGTTGGACTGGAAGAGGAACAACTGGGACTAGAACTCAGTGCCCATATGGGATGCTGGTGCTGCAGGTGGAGGATTAATCAAGTGAGCCATGGCACTGACCCATACAATAGATGTTTAAGAGATCAGGGAGCCCCAAGGTCTCTGCTCTACTATTGGGTTGAGGTGTTAGAGTTGGATTGCTCTTGCCACCCCAAAAATGCTCCAAGAGACTTTCTCTCATGCAATTAACAAAGGGTAAGGTTTATTGATGATCCGACATGTCGGGGCCCCCGTCCCAGTACAGGCGAGCGGCCCCAAATAGTCTTGGGTTGGGGTTTTTATACACGTTTAAACAAAGAAAATCAATCATTGCATAGATCAGACAGAGGTATAGAGTAAACAATTGATACAGGTTAAGTGATTTTACAACCAGTGGATTTATGAATACAGGGAGTACAGGATATCGAGTAAGGGCCTGATTAGACCTCAGAGAACCATATGCCCTATACAGGGAGTATCAAAAAGCCTCCTATTGCCAAAAGGGAGGGCCACACAACAAACACAACAAGGTTGCAGGAACTGCCTTGATGATACCTAGGAATGCAGCTGAATGGCGATAAGGGCCATATGGTGGGGTCAGGGTTCCAGGAGGCAAAGAGATATACGGTGACTTCTTCTATCTTACTTAGGTGAAACTAAGGTTACGCTCACATTGGGGTAATTTACTGACTAATTAACTTTATAGAGGATGGCTATGCAGAGCAAGTCTAACGAGGTCAGGAAAGTTCACCAGAGGAGGTGGGGGGGAGCGGCTTTTAACTTTTTAACCCTACAGAGGTAGAACTGAAGCTTGGGCAGCCATTCTCCTGCATTGCCCAAAAGAGATAAACATTGGAATGTATTCTTTGTCCTTGAAACACAATTGGAGGGCCTGCACTGTGGCTGTGGCATAGCAGGTAAAGCCGCTGCCTGCAGTGCAAGAATCTCATATGGGCACCGGTTTGAGTTCTGGTGAAATTGGAGAAGACCCCCTAAATTTTACACTAAAATGTGGCCCCTTAAAGTTCCCTAGAAATGCTATCTAGGGTGCCACATGTGCTACTGGAATTTTGGGTGCCTTACGATTTCACCACGGGCTTATTACTAAATCCCCAATATTAATAAGCCCAAGAGGGTTCTTGCCTAATATTTAGAGGAGAATTCTAAATACCGGCACAGATAAATGAGGCAGCATGGTACATTTTAAGCTTTTATTTAGTGAGAAAAATACATAGGAGAGTGAGAGCTTTATTTAAGAGAGAGGTAAATAGGGGTTCATACCAAGCACCAGGAACCAGCCATGTGGATGAGCATCTAGGCCAGGAAGCCTAGAGCACATGGCCCAAAGGCCATGCGCCCTGGAGGTGTGGGGCTACAGCAATCCCCCTTCCTAGCAAGAGGCCAGGGAAAAAAAGCTGGCTGTGCCAAGGGGTGGCCCAGCTTTTAACCCACTTCCAAAGGAGAGTGGTTAATTAACCTGATTGGCTGGTGGGCATCCAGGTGTGGCCAGGTAGGGGGATGAGGTCACACAGCAGCGTGGTGAAGGCGTGGTCTTCCAGTTCATAAATCTGATCAATTTTAACCTGTATGCCTGCCTACTTCACTGGCTGCTCCATTTCTAATGCAGCTCTCTTCTATTGCCTGGGAAAGCAATGGAAGATGGCTCAAGTCCTTGGGCCCCTTGCATCCATGTGGGAGACCCAGAAGAAGCTCCTGGCTCCTGGCTTCGGATCAATGTACCTCTCTGGCCATTGTGGCCATCTGGGGAGTTAACCAGAGGATGGAAGCCTTCTCTCTCCCTCTCTGTGTAACTCTGACTTTCAAGTAAATAAAAAATTTTAAAGAAAAAACTCAATTGGGTCTCACACTCTATTGTCTTCATACTCCACCCCTTACAGCCACCTGAAAGACCAGTTCCAGGAATTCCCCTCTGCTTGCTGCCCCCTACCTCACCCCCATCCCCCACCTTCCCTGGGGGTCAGGGTCTTCTGTCAGGTGTTCCATCATGGGCACATTGACAGTGGCAGTTGGTTACCCATCTCTACGGATTTATTTTCTCTGAATAAATTCGGTCTGGATATAAATTGGTACACTGCCTCCTCTCTATTCTGTGACTCTTTTCCTAACAGGACACCCTCCCCCTGCCTCTGCCTCTCTGTAATTCTGCTTTTCAAATAAAATAAACATTTAAAAATTGCACTTAACAACCACCTTCTCTTAAATTTAACACATATGCAGGCCATGCAATATTGCAATAGAACACCATTTTTTTTTCTTAGTCATAAGATCCTGACTATATCTTGCCCAATCAGCCACGATGCAACTCAAGGTGATTTTGGATGGAAATTAAATTGAACCACTCATATTTCACCAAAGAGGAAGAAATCCTCATACAAATAATCAAATGAGTACTCTTCCAAAAAATATCCAAATTTCCTCACAGGGAGGCTGAAGTAAAAATCTTAGAATCTGTCTCCCACACACCAGTATCACAAAAATGACCTAAACCAGGTCCAAATGCCATGAGCCCAAAGAGCAGAGACAGAAATTGCAGGTATGCCCCTGGTTCAACTTACCCAGTCTCTGAGCTGTTGACTCCAGACACAAAGGGGAGCCATGGACTCCCTGCAAGGTAGCTAATGCACAGCAGGAAGATAAAAGAAAGTCCCAGAGAGAAAGTGCTCTCAGAAGCTGCTGGGATGTCCCCAGAGTCCCAGCTAAAATATTAGCTCAAGAGCAGCTCTGGGGTGGAGGTACAAGTGACCATTGCCCTCCTTACTAATGTGAAAGGGTTAAGCCACTTGAAAAATACATTCCAGGGGCCAGTGCTGTGGTTCAGTGGGTTAATGCCCTGGCCTGAAGCGCTGGCATCCCATATGGGCACCAGTTCTAGTCCCGGCTGCTCCTCTTCCCATCCAGCTCAGTGCAGTGGCCTGGGAAAGCAATAGAAGATGGCCCAAGTCCTTGGGCCCCTAACCTGTGTGGGAGACCCCGAAGAAGCTCCTGGCTCCTGGCTTCAGATGGATGCAGCTCCAGCTATTATGGCCAATTGAGGAGTGAATCATTGGATGGAAGGCCTCTCTCTCTCTGCCTCTCCTCTCTGTGTAACTCTGACTTTCCAATAAATAAATATTTCCAGAAGGCAGCTACAGTCTTGGGAAAGAAAGTCCTCTCAAACCAAAGAAGCCTTTTGCTACCAAACTGTGCAGCACAGAGGATGTTTAAAGGGACAGGGGTAATTGGAGCACCAGGCTAGAAATAAAACAATGAGTCTATTCAATTGATAATTATGCAGATTTTCAGACTTTGTTCTGAGGAAGCTCCCACCAGCCAGTCAGGGGAGTCCAGGGTGTCAGGTGGGAGGTGCATTCTGCCTCAGTTGGGGGGAGGGTTCTCTGTCAGCTGGGTCAAAAGCCTGCCCTTCCAAATCATCTCCTTTTTTTCTGTAGCCTTCCGAAACTCTTCTGCAAATATTACTCACAAGATGAGGGGAATGTAGGGTGCTTTCATTAGGACTACCATGCTGTTGGAGGAGGGTGATTGGGGGTTTATAAAGAGGTTCTAAGGCAGGGGGTGCTGGTGTAAGGACTAGATGACCTAATGGGGAGTCCTTGTAAGAGTGGACAAGATGCTTGCTTCTCCCCAGGACCTGTCTATTAGCAGTTTCTAGCTTTATCATGAGAATATCGAGGAAGCAATGATCCCACCCTTCTGAGCTTCTAGTTTTATCATGAGAATAGAAAGAATTTGCCTATCCTACTATTCAGCTGGATTTTTGTTTTACAAGAGCAAACTAGACAGGATTTTGTCCCCAGCCTCTGATTGATTGTTAGCTGTGATTATTCTGCTCATCCAAATTGCAGTTAAAAAACTCCATCCATTTTTCAGGTTTCCTTCTCGTGGAGATTCCCTTATTGTAAGGTCACCACAAAACACACCAAACACTGGAGTAAGGGAAAGGATTTATTGACTAAAACGCAGCAGGCCAGAGGGGAGAAGCAAAGAAGGAAAACAAGGAGAAGGAGAATGTGAGAGATAGAGGCCAGGAGATGGAGAGAAAGAGGGAGAGAGGAGAGAGCTAGAGACAGAAGATGAGAACAGCTGAGAGGAAAGGGGAAAGGAGAGAAGGAAGCAAGACAGAGCAGAGAACCACATGTTCAGGAACAGCTCCTTTTAAAACTTAGCTGGAGGGCAGGCAGGGAAGCAGGAGCAGTGAATCCCATTAGAATGAGAGTGGAGCTTCACACCAGTGGTTAGGCCATGAGGCCACCTGGCTTCTACTAATGGCCAAGAGGGGGGGCATACAGGCCACAGGTGCTGGGAATCCTAGACAGCGCATTCTCAAGCTAGGAATACAGGGACCAGAAGTGGGTCTGGGTTTGCAATGCCCGACCAGAGGGAGGGAGCCAGCCAGCTGAGGAGCAGCCAGGTCCATCCTCCCGGGCAGTGCCAAAGGAGGCTTTGGGGGTGCGCTGTGCCAACCTTGGCTTGGCCGGGGGAGCCCTCCCAACTCTGTGCCTCCGGCCGTCCAGGCAGGCTGCAGGGTCGGGCTTGGCCGTGGGCCTATGGAGCTTGCTGCCCTGCCCGTGGGCGGGGCCTCCATGTGCCAGCCAGGTGGCACAGGGTTCCTGGGGCTGCGCCTTGTCCCGGCCCAAGGGAGGTTGGGGGAACCGCGGAGGCACAGAAAAATAGCAGGAATATACAGGCCACAATCTAATACCCCTGAATAGCAGCAAGTGACAGCAAAATACAGAGTGAAGGAGTCTGGAGAAACTAACAGCTTCATTTGATATTCAGGTGAAACTCAGTCCTGTATTAATAATCAGTATGAGCTACAACTTCTTGCATGTCATGTTAGTGTGTGAGACTTTTGTAAACTAGTTGTGCCCAGTGAAAACTGTTAGTAATTACATATACGGTCTAGATAAGTGGTGAGCATGCATCACAATAAGGAGTAAGATTAACTCAATCTTAAAACCATGAAGTTCCCAAAAGAAAAACAATAAAATAAATCAAGGGGCTGGCACTGTGGTGTAGTAGGTAAAGCTGCTGCCTGCAGTGCCAGCATCCCATATGGGCACTGGTTCAAGTCCCTGCTGCTCCACTTCCAATCCAGTTCTCTGCTATGGCCTGAGAAAGCAGTAGAAGATGGCCCAAGTCCTTGGGCCCCTGCACTCATGAGGAAGACCTGAAGAAGCTCCTGGCCCCTGGGTTTGGATTGGCACAGCTCCAGCCATTGTAGCCAATTGGGGAGTGAACCAGCAGATGGAAGACCTCTCTCTCTCTGCCTCTCCTTCTCTCTCTGTGTAACTCTGACTTTCAAGTGGAGGGATAAATCTAAAAAAAAAAAAGATACAGACTAGCTGAATGTATTAAAACACAAGATCCATTTTTTACTGCCTGTAATAAACACATCTCGGCTACAAAGATACATACAGACTTTGAAAGTTAAAGGATGGAAAATGATATTCCATGATAACAAAAAGTAAAAAAGAGAAATATTATCCATGATAATATCATGCAAAACAGACTTTAAAGCAAAAACTATTAAACAAGACAAAGAAAGGCATTTGTATTAATGAAGGAATCAATCCAACAGAAAGATAAAACTATGGTAAATGTATATGTACCCAATGCCAGGTGCATGATTGCTTTTCATTTTTTTATGATTCATTTATTTATTTGAAAAGCAGAGCTACAGAGAGAGAGAGAGAGTTCTTTCATTTGCTGGTTCACTCTTCAAATGGCCAGTGGCCAGAGCTGAGCCAATCAGAAGCCAGGAGGCAGGAGCTTCTTCTGGGTCTCCCACATGGATGCAGGGGCCCAAGGACTTTGGCCACCTTCTACTGCTTTCCCAGGCCACAGCAGAGAGCTGGATCAGAAGTGGAACAGTGAGGTCTCAAACCAGTGCCCATATGGAATGCTTAACCTGCTTTGCCACAGTTCCAGCCCCAATGCCTGATTATTTAAAAACCAAGGTTAATGGATCTTAAGAGAAACATTGACTTCAATCCAATAGTAATGGGCGACAGCAATATCACAGTTACATCAATACACAGGACAACTAGACAAAGAAAAATCAAAGAAGACAACTAATCTACACTATGGACCAAAGTGACAGAATTGACATATACAGAACATTTCATCCCATAGTTGCAGAATACACATTCTTATCACCAGTGCATGGAACTCCTTCTAGGACAGATCATATGTTAGGCCATAAAGCAAATCTCAGCAAATTAAAAGAAAATGAAATCATACCATGTATCTTTTCTGACCACAATGGAATGAATCTGAAAATTAAGAACATAAGAAACTCTAGAAAGCATGCAAGCACATGGAGTCTGAACAGCCTGCTCCTGAATGAACTGTGGGTCATAGAAGAAATCAAAAAGTAAATAAAAAATTACAGGAAAGAAGTGAAAATGACAACACACATGTCAAAACTTATGATATACAGCAAAAGCAATTCTGAGAGTTAAGTTTATAGCAATTAGTGCTTACCTCAAAATTGGAAAAGGATCAAACAAATGATTTAACAATCCATTCAAAACCTAGAAAAACAATAAACCAAATCACAAGTTAGTATGACGAAAGAAATTCTTAAAATTAAAGAAGAAATAAAATTGAAACAAAAAAGAAACAAAAGATCAGTGAAATGAAGAGCAATTATTTTTGAAAAAATTAAAATTGATGCACCACAGGCCTAAATAATTTAAAAAAAAAAAGAGTGGAGAAGACACATATTAATAAATTCAGAAATAAAAAGGAAATGTTAGATACCACAGAAATAAAATTCATCAGAAATTATGAAAAAAGCTATATGCCAACAAATAGGGAAATTTAGAAGAAATGGATTGATTCATAGACAGCACAAACTACCAACATTGATGCATGAAGGCACTGAAAACCTAAACAAAACAATAACCAAGATGGAGACTGAATAAGAAATAAAGACCCTCCCCACATAGAAAAAGCCCAGGACTGGATGGTAACATGCTGAGATCTACCAAACTTTTACAAAAAAATGAATTCCAATTCCTCTCAATCTTTTTCAAACAACTGAGATGGAGGAAATTCTCCCACACTGCTTCTATGAGACCAGCATAACCTTAATTCCAAAACCAGAAAAAACATACAACAAAGAGAATTATAAACCAGTATCACAGATGAACAAAATATGATTGTTCACTTGGGCCAAGTGGTATCCCTGGTATGCAGGAATGGTTCAACATATGCAAATTAACAAATGTGACACATCACAATAACAAATAGAAGAATGAAAACTGTTTGTTTATTCATCCTGAGAGAGTGTTGTATTTTATCAAATGGTTTCTGCATCTATTGAGATAACCATACAGGTTTTTTTAGTTATTCTTTTTTTTTAAGCTTTATTTTATTTATTTGAAAGACAAAGTTAGAGAGAGGCAGACACAGAGAGATCTTCCATCTGATGGATCACTCCCCAGATGTCTGCAATGGCCGAAGCTGCACCGATCTGTGGCACAGCAGGTTAAAGCTCTGACTTGAAGTGCTGGCATCCCATATGAGTGCCAGTTCAAGTCCTGGCTGCTCCACTTCCGATCCGACTCTCTGCTATGGCCTGGGATAACAGTAGAAGTGGCACAAGTCCTTGGACCCCTGCACCCTTGTGGGAGACCCAGAAGAAACTCTTGGCTGTTGGCCAGGAAATGCAAATAAAAACCACAATGAGGAGCCGGCGCCGTGGCTCAATAGGCTAATCCTCCACCTTGCGGCGCCGGCACACCGGGTTCTAGTCCCGGTTGGGGCGCTGGATTCTGTCCCGGTTGCCCCTCTTCCAGGCCAGCTCTCTGCTATGGCCAGGGAGTGCAGTGGAGGATGGCCCAGGTGCTTGGGCCCTGCACCCCATGGGAGACCAGGAAAAGCACCTGGCTCCTGGCTCCTGCCAGGATCAGCGCGGTGCGCCGGCTGCAGCGGCGGCCATTGGAGGGTGAACCAGCGGCAAAGGAAGACCTTTCTCTCTCTGACTCTCTCTCTCACTGTCCACTCTGCCTGTCAAAAAAAAAAAAAAAAAAAAAACCACAATGAGGTTACACCTTACCAGAGTTAGAATGGCTCTCATACAAAAAATATGAAGCAATGACTGCTGGTGAGGATGTAGGGGGGAAAAGTTCCCTAGTACACTTTTAGTGGGAATGTAAACTAGTGCAACCTTTATTAGAGGCAGTATAGCGATTCTTCTGAAATCTGACAGTATATCTACAATATGACCTAGCCATCCCACACTGTGAATGTACCCAAAAGAAGTTAAATAGGCATATTAAAGCTACCTGTATGCCCATGTTTATTACAGCTCAATTCATAATAAGTAATATATGGAATCAACCCAGATGCCAATCAAGTAATGACTGGATAAAAAAATATGGTATCTATGCACTATGGAATACTACTCAGCCACAAAAAAGAATGAAATTCTGTCTTTTGCAATAAAATGGATGCAACTGGAATCCATCATGCTTGGTGAAATAAGTGAGTCTCAAAAAATACAAATATTGTATGTTTTCCTTGATATATGTTACTAATATACAGAGTATAAAAGATGTAATGTGTAGGAGCAAAATTTGCATTTTGAGATTATTGTTTATAACATTTTCTTTACTCTCAAGGAACAGTGGTTTTCTTCTACATTCTATTTCTTGAATCCTTCACTTTGTGGAGGGTCAAACATGATTATAACATAAACTGAAAGTATGTCTTGTAAAAATTAAAAGTAAAATCATAATGGAGGGAAGAAGGTTGGGAGCCTGAGCAGGAGAGGGTAGGATAGGAAGTATCAATTTGTTCCTAAATCTGAATATATGAAACACATGAAATTTGTTCACCTTATATAAATAAAAAATTAAAAATAAATAAATTAAAGCAATCAAGAGAACAATTCAATTTCAAAAGCACCAAAGGTAATAAAATACTTAGGAATAAACTTAACCAAGGAAATAAAATACCTAAACATTGAAAACTGTAAAAGATTACTGAAATGAATTAAAGATCACACAAATAAATGTATATATATACACTCTGTTCATGGATTATAAAATATATGTAATAAATCAATGTTCCTAGTGATCTACAGATTCATATCATTCTTCATAATATCCCAATAGTTATTTTTAGTCAAAAATTTAAAAAACTATACAGAAAATTAATATGGAATGTCAAAGTATTTAAATACCCAAATATTCTTGAACATAAGATCAAAGTTAAAGGCCTCACATTCTCTTAATTCAAAAGCAAATGTAGTCTAAACAGTGTGATATTTGAACAAAACCAGACATACAGGCACAGATTTGGTCTCAGTTGAGAGTCTGGGTAAGATATCTGCATTGCATACTACAGTGTTTATGTTCAACTCTCACCTCTGGCTTCTGAAACCAGCTGCCTGCCAATGGAAAATATGGGAGGCTGTGGGAATGGAACATTTAACTGGGACCCTGTCACCCACATTGGAGGCCAGGATTTGGTTTCCAGTCCAGACCTGTCATTGCAGACCTATGCAGAGTGAACCAGAAGATAGGGGTTCTAGCTCTCTCTGCCTCTCAAATTAAAAAATAAAAATATTAAGTGTAAATATTAATGTAATAATCAGAAAATCAAGATTTGAATACCTCATCAATAAAGAAAAAAATTGACTAAATTCAATTTATCATTAAAACCCCAAATAAACTGTTAACTGAGGCAAACTTCCACCACAGAAATGGCACCTATGGGAAATTTACAATAAACTCTTGTAAAATGGGAATAAGACTGCTACTTTTTTTTTTTTTTTGACAGGCAGAGTGGACAGTGAGAGAGAGAGACAGAGAGAAAGGTCTTCCTTTGCCGTTGGTTCACCCTCCAATGGCCGCCACGGCCAGCACGCTGTGGCCGGTGCACCGCGCTGATCCGATGGCAGGAGCCAGGAGTCAGGTGCTTTTCCTGGTCTCCCATGGGGTGCAGGGCCCAAGCACCTGGGCCATCCTCCACTGCACTCCCTGGCCACAGCAGAGGGCTGGCCTGGAAGAGGGGCAACCGGGACAGAATCCGGCGCCCCAACTGGGACTAGAACCCAGTGTGCCAGCGCCGCTAGGCAGAGGATTAGCCTAGTGAGCCGTGGCGCCGGCAAGACTGCTACTTTTAACACTTCTATTCAACAGTGTAGTGGATGATTCTACCAAAAAAATGAACAAAGCAAAAGAATAAAGCTCCAGATTGCAAACAAAAGAGCAAAATTGACTTGTAATATTGAACACATAGTCTTATATGTAACATATATTCTGAGGAAGTCACTAAAATCCCACTCCAAAATACAGTAAAACTCAGTATTTTTGTGGAATATAAAGATATAAGTATCAATTATATTTCTGTTTAACAGTGATGAACATTCTAAAAGTATAATTAACAATAACATTCAAGGTAGCATCAAAGAGTGAAAATACCACAAGAAATTTAAGAAAAAAAAAAACTTGATTAAACTTAAATCGCGCTGATCCAAAGCCAAGACCAGGTGCTTTTCCTGGTCTCCCATAGGGGTGCAGGGCCCAAGCACTTGGGCCATCCTCCACTGCACTCCCTGGCCACAGCAGAGAGCTGGCCTGGAAGAGGGGCAACTGGTACAGAATCCGGCACCCCAACCGGGACTAGAACACAGTGTGCGGCGCCGCAAGGTGGAGGATTAGCCTATTGAGCCACAGTGCTGGCTGAAAAAGGTCTTCTTTATGTTGGCTCTGCCCCCAAATGGCTACTACGGCCAGAGCTATGCCGATACGAATCCAGGAGCCAGGTGCTTCCTCCTGGCCTCCCATGCAGGTGCAGGGCCCAAGCTCTTGGGCCATCCTCCACTGCCTTCCCAGGCCACAGCAGAGAGCTGGACTGGAAGAGGAGCAACCTGGATTAAAACCTGGCACTCATATGGGATGCCAGTGCCGCAGGTGGAGGATTAACCAAGTGAGCCATGGCGCCAGCCCCACAAAACTTGAATTTTATACTGAAAAATTACAAAAAAAAACATACAATTTTTAAATGAAGCATTGATTTCAGTAAGAGATTTTAATACTGCAAAAGTATATTCTTCTGGGCCCAGTGCTGTGGTGCAGTGGGTTAAAGCCCTGGCCTGAAGTGCCAGCATCCCATATGGGTGCCAGTTCTAGTCCTGGCTGCTCTACTACCTATCCTGCCCTCTGTTATGGCCTGGGATAGCAGTGCAAGTTGGTTCAAGTCCTTGGGTCCCTACATCCATGTGGGAGACCCAGAAGAAGCTCCTGGCTCCTGGCTTTGCGTCAACACAGCTCTGACTGTTCTAGCCATCTGGGGAGTAAACCAGTGGATGGAGGACCTCTCTCTCTGTCTCTACCTCTCTCTGTAACTCCGTCTTTCAAATAAATAAAATAAATCTTTTAAAAAACTATACTTAATATAAATCATTGTGGAAATGTAAATCAAAACCTTAGGGAAATAACACTTCTTATTAAGTCAAATGACTCTGATTCACTATAGATGAATGTTGACATGGATGTGGAGAACAGGGAACCCTCATACA